TTATTTTTTCTGTTGTTGTTGTTGTTGTTATTATTATTATTATTATTATTATTATTATTATATTTATTATTGTGTTGTTGTTGTTGTTGTTGTTGTTGTTGTTGTTGTTGTTGTTGTTGTTATTATTTATATTATTATTATTATTTTGTTGTTATTATTATTATTATTATTATTATTATTATTATTGCTATTATTATTATTATTATCATTATTGTTGTTATTGTTATTATTACTATTATTATTGTTGTTATTGTTGTTATTATTATTATTTTTATTATTATTATTGTTGTTGTTGTTGTTGTTGATGTTGATGTTGTTAAAATTATTGTTGTTGTTTTAATTATTATTATTATTGTATTATTATTGTTGTGATTAGTATTATTATTGTTATTGTTGTTATTATTATTGTGTTTTGTTGTTGTTGTTGTTGTTGTTGTTGTTGTTTTATTATTAATTAGTCATTAAAACTATTATGTTTAGAAATGTGTTGACAAAATTTTCTTTAAGTTGAACAGAAATTGGAGGAAAAATATACAGAAGGGGCTAATAATTCACTTCAACTGTATGAAGTCATATACATTTAATACCAGTATACCATTACAACCCTAATCATAATGTTGCTTTATAACCATCTCTCAGCAAAATCCCTTGAGCAATGACGTATTTGACCATATTTTGTGTTGTCCACAGTTGCTTCAGAGGCTCAGTGACTGATAAAGGCTTTGGCACGGAGCTTTAATTAGAGACAAAAGTGTGAGTGTCCCGTTTCAAAGAGCCGTCAGTGCTCGGCTTGAGTCTGACAAGACAACCTTCAACAGGCCTGTGATCAGTGCTAAAGTCCCCATCTGCTCTCAGCAGGAGTCTGGGTCCATCACAAACAATTCACAAATCACATCTCTGCGATATCAACCGCTCCTTCCAGACAATAACAGCAACAATGAAAACTAATGAGAGTTTCAGATTAAATCCCAAAATATGTCTCAAACCCGAGCCAAGATGCTAACATTTGCGGTCATACATTTCTAATAAGCATGCCTAAAGATCCTCTGCTGAATTTACAATAGCAGTACATGAATAATGATGCACTAATATTTAATTTAACAATATTACTTTATTATGAGCGAAGCCATGCGCGAATCATGAACTACCTTAACTACAATATGAGTCACATGAGTTCATGTGTGAATAATGGCTACCTTACTTAATGTATATTAATGTATTAACACTTTCATTCATACATTTTCCTTTGGCGCAGTCCATTATTTATCAGGGGTTTCCACAGTGGAATGAACCACCAACTATTCCAGGATATGTTTTACACAGAGGATTCCATTCCAGTCGCAAGCCAGTACTGGGAAAGCACTTTAGTTTTTAGCTAAATGTAACTAACATGAACTCATGACCTATTAATGTATCATTATGTCATGACTTTACTTGGAGGGGCACATTATCATTAATTACTGTGTTTACATGTAACAGTTATGCAAGTCAGTCTAATGTGTGTGTACACTGAAAAACAAAAGAAAAGTGTTCTGTCTGTATCATAATAAACAGGTTAAACACAGGAGTTCATGAGTAGTTAGGAATGAGTTAATGATGATGTCCCCCTCCAACTAAAGTCATGATACATTAACAGGTCATGAGTTTGTGTTGGTTATATTTACCGTAAACTAAAAAGTTAATTAATACATTAATTAACAAAATAATAATTGATGTCAATAATCAGACATTAATTTGTGTGACTTATGTTGTAGTTAAAGTTTATGATTAGCTCATGCGTTAACTCATTATTATATGCAGTTTATTATCTTTTAATCTCACAATTTGTAGAATTTATCTCACACATGAAGTAAAAAGACAATAAAGTTGGTCATTTTTGGTAGATTTTATCTCATGTTTGATTTATTGATGATTTTTCTCAATCTTAAAATGGCAGCTTTTATCTCATATTTGACAATGTCACAATTATGGTAATTTATGCAATAAATAAACATTTTTGTCTCATAATGACTTATGATGATATGTCATAGTTGTTACTTTCACATCATAATTCACATCATCTAATTATGTTTGACTGATAATTTATCTTAAAGAATGTATTTCATGATTTTTCTTAAAACTGCAGCTTTTATCTCATAATTGACCATTAAATGTCATAATTATGGTAATTTATGTAATAATTCGAATTTTTTATCTCATTATAATGACTTCTGGTGATATCTCTTATTTTATCTCATTATAATGAATTATGTTGGTATCTCATAATTGATCTTATTATAATGACTTCTGATAATTATCATATATTTTTATTAATGATTTATCTCATAATGTATGTCACGATTTTCTTTAAAATAGCAGCTTTTGTCTCATAATTGACATAATGTCACAATTTCTCATTATGTCATAGTTTATCTCATAACGACTTCTGATGATATCTCATATTTTATCATTATAATGAATTCTGTTGGTATCTCATAGTTTATCTCATTTTAATGGCTTCTGATGATATCAGTTTATCTCAATATAATGCCTTTTGAAGGTATCTTATAGTTTATCTCACTATAATGACTTCTGATGGTATCTCATAGTTTTATCTCAATATGATGATTTCTGCTGATATCTCATAGTTTATCTCATTAAAATGACTTCTGATGATATCACATAGTTTTTCTCTTTATGACTTCTGATGATATCAGTTTATCTCTTTGTAATGACTTTTTATAATATCTCTTTTTTTTCAATATAATGACTTCTAATGATATCTCAGTTTATCCCATTATAATGACTTCTGGTGATATCTCATATTTTATCATTATAATGACTTCTGATGATATAATGACTTTTGATGATATCTCATATTTATCTTTTTATAACGACTTCTATTGACATCTCATAGTTTATCTCATAGTGACTTCTGAAATCTTATATTTTTTCTTTTTATAATGACTTCTGATGATATCTCATAGTTTACCTCTTTGAAATGACTCCTGATGATATGTCAAACGTTATCTCATTATAATGACCTCTGATGATATCTCATAGTTTATCATTATAATGACTTCTGATGATATCTCATATTTTATCTCATTATAATGACTTCGGATGATGTATATCATTATAATGACCTCTGATGATATATATCATTATAATGACCTCTGATGATATCTCATATTTTATCTCATTATAATGACTTCTGATGATATCTCATATTTTATCTCAGTATTATGACTTCGGATGATATCTCATAGTTTATCATTATAATGACTTCTGATGATATCTCATAGTTTATCATTATAATGACTTCTGATGATATCTCATAGTTTATCTCAGTATAATGACTTCTGATGATATCTCATATTTTATCTCATTATTATGACTTCGGATAATATCTCATAGTTTATCATTATTATGACTTCGGATGATATCTCATAGTTTATCATTATAATGACTTCTGATGATATCTTGTAGTTTATCATTATAATGAATTCTGATGATATCTCTTATTTTTTCTCATTATAATGACTTCTGATGATATCTCATAGTTTATCTCAGTATAATGACTTCTGATGATATCTCATATTTTATCTCATCATAATGACTTCTGATGATATCTCATAATTTATCATTATTATGACTTCTGATGATATCTCATATTTTATTATAATGACTTCTGATGATATCTCATAATTTATCATTATAATGACTTCTGATGATATCTCATATTTTTGATTGATGATTTCATAATTTATTTAATTTTTTTTCTAAAACAGCAGCTTTTATCTTATAATTGACTTAATGCCACAATTATGACAATTTCTGTAACAATTCCAAGTTTTTATCTCATTATAATAATTTCTTATGGCATCT